CAGTGATCAAGTGTCCAATAAAAAAGTAAAATTGCATTAAAAATTGGGTGGTGCCTATGGCTCAAAGAGTAGGGCACCAGCCCTATATACTGGAGGTGGTGGGTTTACACCCAGCCCCAGCCAAAAACTTCACACACACACACACACACACAAAAATTACAGTAAAAATAAAATATTACCAATGAAATGTGAATAAGTAGAGTACAAACACATACACACAAATATTTTCCATATTTGCACACACATGCACGTCTTGACCATTTCTTATAGGCAATTCTGTAGATTGATGTTAACTGAATGTGTGAGCTGGATTTGGCAACAGCATCCAATGTCTTGGATGACACTTAGATAATATGTCTATATCCTCACCCAATCCTGAAATGACCAGCAAAATTCCGTTTGTCTTCTGAGCCGTCCTGTGCTGTTTTCACAGGTATTACTAAGTTCTTATTTCCTCCCTTGTGACTGAAATTCTTAAGCATCATCTTCCAAACTGAAGCACAAAAAGCCAAACCTCAGTAGCCCATGTAGAACCATAAATTTTAATGCTTTTCATTCAAATTTGTATATCTTATTCTTGAAATTTGTTATCTTAGTCTGCTGATTGGTGCGTAGAATAAGCTCGTCTGTGCTTTCTGCTTAAGGAATGTCATGATCCATTTGAGAAAACTGAACAGAGGAAAAATAGGGACGAGTGGTAGGGTTTGATCCACAGGATGGCTCTTTAAAAATGTGCTCTGAAACAAGAAGTTTTCTGTCCCACAGTACTAATCATTTTTATTTCAGACATTTACAAAGAATAAATAAATCCTTTACTGAAAAATATGATACCTAGATTTTTGTAAATGGTTAGCAGTAGTTCATTTAATTCCTGTACTAATTTTGTTGCAATGTAAACGTCAAAGTCATTCGCCCTAGGATAATTTAATGTGATAGATACGAACAGCTGTAGGCATTTCAGTATAACCTGTCCAGGATATAAAATGAAAAGTTTATTTTCCCCTTTGATACATGAAGGAAAAGTACCCAAAGCTTATTGTCACTAATATAGGACAGGCATTTCCATCCTGCCTGTATGGTCAGTGTACATTTTTAACATCTAAAAATAGACATCGTAGCTTTAAGAGCTACATTACTTGCCCCCACTTCCCTCCTTTCTCCAGCTTATAAGTTCCTGCACTAGGGACAATGGGTGGCCAAACCCCACATGCTGCTATGGAAAATAACTCCCTGTGCCTCAGAAACACAATGTCTTTCAGCTTTGTGAAATACCAGACATCAATCAGCCTTTATATCAACTTACAATAACATTTTTGAAGACACGATGAAAGATTTGAATCCTCTCCATCCCATACCCTCATCTCACTGAAAAATCTCAGGCATTTCAAGAATTCTACCAGCCAATTTCCTTTCCTTCAGCACTCACAGCCTGTCTCTGCTAGTGCCATTGTCCCGCCCTGCACCTCAGCGATAACTGCCCACAGCATTTGCACACCCATCATCACGCAAGCTTTGTGCTGCAAAGAGCTCCTTTCCTATATCATTTTATGGAAAAGATTACAGTTTTGTGATTTCAGCATTTTAAAAAGCAAGACAATTTCCCCCACCCAAGAGCCTACTTTTGCATTTACATGATAACTAGTTTCCAGAGAGTTCAACATCTGAAATAAGTTGACAGTGTTTTGTGAGCCGAGAGTCAAGGTAGCAGTATGGTATGGAAATAAGTAAAGGAATTATATTATAGCAATTCTTTCATCTTAAAGAACTCCTTTGCTAAGGGTCTTTTAAACTCTTTCTAAAGAATTTTTAATATGTTTATAAATCTTTTGCAACAAGGTCCTAAGGACTCTGAACGTGTGAGTTAGAAGTTACCTAAAATCCCTGCTCCATTCTCCATATGCATTTTCATTCTATGTTTGTTTATCTGGACTTCCTATGTTGACAGTTGAAAGTCACTTAAAAAGACATAGCTTTAGTGGGGGTTCGTGATCAGGCTGTCTGAAAGGACTCAAATAAGCTCCACTTTCATAGTCTCATAGGTATTTTTCTTAACATTTATTCAGAATGAAATTTAAAGCTTTCATGCACTCACAACAAATATAGCTGTGTTGTTTTTACACTCCTCCTCTTTATCTGGATTTGTTTGCCTTGAAAAGCGGAATGGCAGAAAATGACATGCTCCTTTTATAGGCACATGTCCACTTTGAACTTGGAAAACAAATGATGCCAGTAGTTAATGACTGAGTAAAATTGTGGACATTACTCAGTACTTTCACTTATTCAAGAAATTTGTGAGTGCCTGTTATGTGTGAAGCCCCTTCTAGGTGCCTGGGGAGACACACATGAACAAAATGAGCCAAAAATTCTTGCTGTTTTATATTCCAGTATGAAGAGACAACAAAGTAAGGAATAAACATAATAAACTAACTTAAAGAGCAAGCTCGGTTTCTGGGAGTGCTTCAAGCGCAGACTGCCATGTTAAATAAGTCGGTCAGCATAGGATTCATAGAAAAAATGCCACCTGCACCATGGCTTCAAGGAGCTGAGGGAGTTAGGCAATGGAAATCATTGTCAAAGGAATCCTGGGGGTACAGGGAGGAGCCAGGGAGAAGGATCAGAGCAGTGCTCAGGAATGGTAGGAGGTTCACATATTTAAAAATGAAAGCAGTTGAACCCATTTCATTCAGTCTCATATCCCCTGAGCCCATAGTTAGCACGCATGCATTGAATCATTCTTCATTACAATAAATCCTTACATTCTCAGAAACATTTTTAATTTAATTGGCACATGCTCCCATTTGCCACATTTCAACGCAAGCATTTTTATAAAATTTTATATTTTTTTTCATTGTTTTAAGTTTGGAACTAAGGAATGGGTTTCACATCATTTTTTTCTCCAATATTATTTCCTAGACCTAAGAGGTATTCAATAGCTTTTTTAATTGTATGGAGAAATTAAAAAGGACCTAAAAGTTTCGGTTTTAAACACCTTACTTAGTTCTATGAATCACAGTGGTCAAATCTTTTGGTCTTTGTCTCAGTTTTCCAATGTGCAATTGAAAGACAGTAAGTTGTTAAATAGGTAAAATAGGCAAAAATGTAAAGTATAGTATGGTTTTTACTTGTATGTCACAAATATGTGAGTCAGACATATCAGAAAAATGCACAAACTTTAATGCAATCTTCAGAACAGTACAATTCAAAAAACACTAAAAAAAATCATAATACTTTATGTAGTGCTGCCAGTGGTGACATTTGTGAGCTATTGACCTGAATTTTCAACTCTGATGGCCAATTTTCCAGCGGCCCAATGCTGGTCACCTGGACGGCGCAGTGATTAGGCCCTTAGGAGAGCTCTGCCTTCCACATTGATCTATTTCGTGCTATGTCTATTTCTAGTATGATGACTCAATTTTGTCAATTTTCATCTGATTCCAAAACTCGCAGGCAAATGCTAAGTCTATTTTATAAATGTTATGTTTTCCTAATTCTAAGATTCCTCACAGGACATCGGGTCAGGACTTTCCCTGCTTTGTATTAACTTGACTATAGGCAAGCCTCAACACTATTTTTTTAATTTAGCTATTCTAAACAATTTTTGCTATTTCCAAACTTCCAAAAGAAGTGTAAAGAAATAGAGCAGGCAGAATAATGACAAGAAATATTAAATGAGATAATCAGAGCCTATGATGTGAATTTTCTTTTACACACAAAACCAAGCTGCTCAGTGTTTGATTCCTTTGATGTTGCCTTTCTGATAAACGCAAAGGTAGATTTTATTTTTTTCTGAGACACAAAAAACATCTCCCATTCAATTATTCACTCATTCTGTATTTCTCTATTTCCAGCTATATAGCAGGGACTGTGCCAGATCCTGGGAGTATTAAAATAATTGAAGGCTGGGTGTTACGGCTCACAGCGGTAACACTTGCAACTCTGGGAGGCCGAGGCAGATGGATTGCCTGAGCTCATGGGTTCGAGACCAGCCTGAACCAGATTGAGACCTTGTCTCTAAAAACAGCCAAGCATTGTGGCAGGCACCTTTAGTCCCAGCTACTCGGGAGGCTGAGGCAAGACAATCACTTGAGCCCCAGAGTCTGAGATTGCTGTGAGCTATGATGCCACAGCGCTCTATCAAGGGCGACAAAGTGAGACTCTGTCTCAAAAAAATAAAAATAAAAAACATTAAAATAATTGAGACATTCTCTCTGTCTTTCAGGAATTTAGGGCCCAGTGGAGGAGAAATAGAGGTTGATTTTCTACTTTGGTTAGGATATTAAGATTCCAAAAGGTAGAAATGACCTATGCCTACCAAACTCATAAGAGACCTGATGTATAAAACAGTTGCTTAAGCTGATTGCTTATTTACAAATGCAAAGTTAGTAACTTTTTCTTGGGTTAATAGAACATTTATAATCATTCTTTGGGAAAACCTTCCCTAATATAAGATTACAAGGGAGACCAAATTAATATTCATAAGGTTGCCTAGTGAGCATGATATTAAAGAAGTCTGGAGAGTGTGAAGCTTTTTTCAGGCTATAATGAATACTGAGAAGCAGCTCAGCCTCTGCAGCCTGGCATATACACCTCTACAGTGAATTAACAGTGAGTTTCCCTAGGCATACCAGCTCCATTCTTGTACCGTGAAGGCACACGGCCACGTCCCAGCTCTTTCCTCGCTCTCCCTCAGGCTCATGGGTCTTCATCAGCACATTTTCTTGCAGACAATTAAAATATATTTGTCTATGTTTGTGTTAGTGTTCCCCACCCCCTCAGGGAGGAGGAGATGGGTAACACAAACATACTTCCTGAGATTTACCGTAGGTGACTGTCCCTGTATTTCTTTGCCATTATTTAATATACTGGCTATGTCTTAGGCATGCTGTGTATTTAACTGAATTGGCAGCAAAGTATGAATTGCAGTAAGCTATTGGAACTATTATATTTAATGACCTGTATAAATTCACCAGAAATTACTTCCTTTTTTTTTTTCTTTCTAGGTTGTAAAAATGATGATTATTGTTGTGATGACATTTGCCATCTGCTGGCTGCCCTATCATATTTACTTCATTCTCACTGCAATCTATCAACAATTAAATAGATGGAAATACATCCAGCAGGTCTACCTGGGCAGCTTCTGGCTGGCAATGAGCTCCACCATGTACAATCCCATCATCTACTGCTGTTTGAATAAGAGGTAAAAACAAAACGACCAAATTCAAGTTTCTCGCAATTCTTGCCTTATCTGGAAATACAAAAGGTTATTCCATCTTCATGATGCGAATTTAAAACACAGGAGGAAGGGAAAATATATAAACTTACTGAAAGGAGGACAAAGCTTCACTTTTGTAATATTCTCCCTCCTTTATAAAACATCCCATCTGAACAATCACATATCCAAAAAATGTTATTCGAGGTTCTAATTGGGCACTATTAATATGGGCTATCTTCTTCCTCCAAATCCTACAGAATTTTACTTGCCAAAGAAAAAGAAATGCCCTAATGGTTGTAAATATGCTCAAACCCTCAAGCAAATGAAGATACTTCCTAAAAATTTATAAATAATGTCTATAGGATGGAAGATGGCAAATATGAGTGGTCTCCATCTACATGGACATATTGTAGATGGACTTCTTCAAAGTAAACGATTTTGTAAAGATAAGTAAGGAGGAGCACGCCAATCCTTCCTGCATAATGAGGTAGGGTAAGAAAGAGGACAGCCTCCCCGGGGTGGCTTGTGCAGCCGTTAGGGGAAAGATGTTTATAAAGTTAAAAAAATAAAAAGTAGGAGTATGCTCAGTCCAATTTAAGACTAGAAAAAAAGGGAAGATGTGGTTTCCAATTAAAAACACTTTGGTTGTTTGTTCCCACATAGAGGGGAATCGTTAAATTTCCTAGGATTGATAAATCCCTTAATAAGCCAACATGTTTTGTGCATGAGTAGAAATAGGACGTGTAAGTAACTACAGGAGCTAAATGCTGAACTCCCTTCTCAGTTGGGACTGTATCACACTGAGCCTTCAGTTTGTTAAATACTTAATTAACTCTTAACATTTTGCACTAATTGCATAAGCCATATCTCAATTCAGTACATCTGCTGGTAATCAACTTCATTTAATGGTTTACAAAGATAAGGATTTTTCACATCTATAGAGATCATATAAAAACAGTCGAGATTAGCAATTAGTTCTAACATTAAATAAATAAGACTTAAATTTATAAATTCATAATTATTTCTGAAAGAAGCTATTTTGAAATGTCATTTTTAAGTGTCTTAATAGGCCAGCCTAATTAAATTAGACTTACGTAAATGTACAAAATTATTGCAGAAAAGTACACTGTTTCTTTGGCATGTAAATTATCTAGTGTTATACTTTTGCTATTTAATGACTTCTAATTTATGGGAAATTAAGATTTAATTCACGCAACAAGAATTTAAAGGACAAATGCCAACACTATGGCACAAATTCTAAGTATTTGACTTGAAATCAAATTAGAAACTGAGTTAGCATTTCTGCTTTAAGCAGGTGTTCTATGGCAGTGTAAGAAAATGCGTGCTTGAAAATCTGACAACTTCTTTCTGTGGCTGCTTCTCCTCAGATTTCGAGCTGGCTTTAAGAGAGCATTTCGCTGGTGTCCTTTCATCAGAGTTTCTAGCTATGATGAACTAGAGCTCAAAACCACCAGATTTCATCCAACTCGGCAAAGCAGCCTGTACACAGTGACCAGGATGGAGTCCATGACAGTGGTGTTTGACGCTAACGATGCGGACCACGCCAAGTCCAGTCGGAAGAAAAGGGCCCTTCCAGGAGACCCAAGCTTCAATGGCTGCTCCAGCAGGAATTCCAAATCTGCCTCCACCACTTCAAGTTTCATAAGCTCTCCCTATACCTCTGTGGATGAATATTCTTAAATCTATTTCCTGAGGGGATAAGTTAGTGTACAGCCATCATGGTGCCACCTTAGGGCCCCATCCCCCTGTTTATCGGTCCCGTCCTACATTTGTTCTGGAAACAGAAGTCAATGTTTTAGGCAGCTATGCTTAAATTGAGAAAGGCAGCCTACAGGGTATAAATGTGATGAAGGCACTAATATGCGATACCCACCCCCCAAAATAAGACGGGCTTTAAATTTGTTTCTTGAAAACACTAAATTATTATACATATACAAAAATTCATTTGAAAAAGTCTTATAAAGTGTCCAGTTAATCTCACTTAAAATTTGCAATATATAATTGTGACACTAAAATGTTATATAATTTCCCCAAAAGATTGAAAAGCATTGAAATATAATAGTGTGAGTGAAGAGAAATACAATCTATACAAAATGAACTTTTTCGTCTATGGCTATAAGACAGAAAATTATTAAAAGGTCCATTTTCCTACCAGAGTAGCAAATATTAACCACAAGAGGTAGGAATTAATAAACATCTTTGGTCAAGAAAACTCATTTTGTAGGAAAACATTTAAAGATTTAAAGATTTATTCCAAGACATTTAACTGAAAAGAAAATCTACTTATTAGGCAGGTATACAGGTAATTCTCTTTATTATTTTTCCTGAGAAAGTGATTGCAAAGGAAAAAAACTCACACACTTTTTGAGCATTACATATTTTTAAATGCTAGGCTGGGAAATAGTCAAAGTCAGGATATTAAAAAGACAAAAAATTCCCATGATCCTCTTTATTTTTCACAGTTTTTTTTAAATAGGTATATTATAAAACACTACAGATGCATTCCTATAAAGAAGGAGAGAATCTTGTTTGTCTCTGACACTGGCTATCAGTCTTTGGGCAAAAAAAAAAAAAATCTTAGTTTTTTTTAAAGTTTTTTAAGGTTGTAATTCATAATTTTGAGGTAGACAGGGGTATCTCCTAGCTCCAAAGAAAGATTTTTTTTTTCTTTTAACCCAAGCAAAAAGTTTAAGGTGGATATCCACTTTATCAACTATATACTGTCCTCTTCCTCTCCCTTCTTTGAAAAAGAAATAAACACTAGGGGAAAGTATCAGAAAATATATTCAAATGCAGATCCATAGAGAAAAGAGTCATAAGTGATACAAAACAAAATGCAGTTGAAAAATACCAGTATACAGGGTATATAGGTAAATCAGGTAATGTGTAGAAATGTGTACCAACTGTTAGAAAAAAACCTGCACAATAGTTTGGAGACATGTGAACGAACTAATTCCAGGTGAGCAAGAGGGTGAGTCTAACTAACACAGGGCCTTCCACAGACAGACCTTCTCTTTGTCTGCTCAGATAGTTCAGAAGTCTCACCAAAAGGAAATACGGCAATAGTCCTAAAAGCACTTATTTTACCAGAAGAAAAAAATGTCCCTGCACATTTCAGAGACATATAACAGATCACAAAACACTTTAAGCGTAAAATTTACTTTCCAGACTTCAATGTTTATAAATCACCTTTCCTTGACTTAGAGATACTATCAGTGCTGCTCAAGAAAGCTGAAACCTTCTGAAAATGTGGGTTTGTAGTACAAACTTCTTTAAATGGTTAAATTCTTAAAGCCGTCTCTCTAAAATGATTTCCTCTAACACTTTGCTTGATGGTTATGCCTTCATCAGTAGGAGAGCCAAATACTTTTGGAAGAACAGTCTAAAAGCAACTTTTCAATGGCAAGTCATGGTCTATTATCACATTATTTCCAAATCCACCTCATTTTTTCTGAACCATACAGTTATTACAAAGTTTTAAAAGTCTGAACAACCTAACCATATGTGTTTGAGCTGAACCTAACCATATGTGTTCTGGTGACACTCCATAAACGCCTGCAAACACATGTAAGTGTGAAGATACATACAATAATTTAGAGAATGTGACAACTTCATAGAATTAAAATTAAAATTTAAATATTGAAATAGTAAGTGATCATTACAAGGTTGCCACAAACAGCTCAATGCAGCTATGACACCTGTGTGCATGTTTTAGATAAGCAAATGCATTTTTATTTCATATCTGATTGGTGGAATATGTTTTTGAATATTCATTCTCAAAAACGTAAATGCTTATCATACAATGTAAAAGTGTCCGGAAAAATCCTAACATGTAAAAACAGGCATTATTTTCCTCTTAAATTTATGAATGATATGATACTAGCATTAATTAATGTCCTAGACATTATGAGACCACATTCAGCTGTAGAATATGAACATGAAGATGGGCCCTCAAGTTTAATACAGTTACCATCACCCAGAGGACATTCGAAAAACAATGCTCCTGACATCCCCACGTGGTAAGGAAATTTGGTAGAAACACTTATAAGGACAAATTTCACCCTAATTAGTTGCTTTGTTCGTTTAGTTCAGGACTATTTCTTAGTAGATTCATTGTTGATTTGCTCACCTAGCATCATCACTCCCAATATGAAAGAAATGCCTGAGGTCCAAATAGTTTACTTTTAGTGCTATTTAAGAAAAAGTGACATCATTCACTCAATAATGATGGCTCTTAATCCAAAATTTATAGATAGTTTTTTTAAGTTTAAAAATTTAGACAATATAAAATAAGAGTAAAATATGAAAGAGGTAAGATTTTAGCCCTTTTGTCTGCATTTTGACAGTGAGAATTATAGAATATTGCAAACGGAAATCAGCTTCAGGGGGGCTTATTGTAAATAAAGTTATGCCAGTGTTTTCACATTTGCTAGGGTTGGGAAGGATTTGTCTTCAAAATCCCTCTATCTTCTGGTGTTAAAGTTCAGTGTGGATCTTTTTCCTTGTTAGCAGGCAAACACTGGCTCAGAATACTAGACAGATGGTTAAAGCATTCAGTTTTTGTAGATTTTGATTAGGACCAGAGAAATCCAAAATATTTTGAGAGAAATCTGAAAAAATCCAAGTCTTGCATCTTTTAAAGCATACGCTTTTTAAAAAGACAAAAGTAAATAAAAAAATAAACATTGTATTTTCATGATTTTGCATCTGGGCAAAATGTAAGATATTGAACTTATCTATATGGGAAAAAAAATGAAAGCAAACTTGACTCGTACAATCTAACTTTTTTTTTGGCAAGTTCAGTACACTGCTACATTATTTCATCTACCAACCTCATGACGGTGACATTTCTGACCCAGGAGCTGAATTCATATTCTTTTACAGATCCTACCAATTGCTTGGAAACAGAGATCTAACCAAACCTCAGAGTAACTTCCACCCTTACAGAGCACACAAAGAATTCCAAGAAGTCTAATAGTAACCTGTGAAACACAAAACAAACATAAGGAAACAATGCTGGTCAGCTCCAAATTTGAGTTTAATTTTTGTTAATGCAGAATTTCCTCTGAAAATTTCTGATTAGCACCTGGTAATTATTATTCCCTCAAAGACAAAGTCAGGAGAATTACAATTTCTTACAGTCCTAACAGTAACATTTGGAGTTCCCACGTGTCATTGATAGCATGCCAAAAGTTAAGAAAATCAAGCGTGACACTGACCATGTAGAAAAATAAGGTTTAAACAGGCTCCCTTAGGGCCAAGCAGGAATCGAGAATCAAATCCAATAGGGCCATAAAAAGTCATTAATTGTGTGGTTTGATAACTATTTGTGAAAATCTGTGTGCCTAAGAAGTAAATGTGTACTAAGTTTGTAGCTAGTAAATAAAATATTTTCATGTTATAGTAATTATACTGAATATGTTTAATAAATTTACACCCTTTGCATATGTGGTAACATGACAGATTTCATTTCTATTTTTTTCTTTAAAAATATTAAAAATAATGTTAAAAATAAAAGAAGTCTTAGTATTTTCTTATTGGTTATCTTTTCCAAACATACCAAATCATTCCTCAAAAACTATGTTGTGCTTCTTCCTTCCTGTTAGGAAAGAATGCCTAGTTTTCCTAAGCTAGTTTGATTCAGAGAGGAGAGCAAAATTGTCAAAACAACACAGAGAACTGTTCTGTACAGAGAACAAATGAATTGGAATGTAGGGAGGAAGGTGCACGTAGCTGAGTGGGGAACATAGCATTTTAAGCTGTGGGATCTGGGCTATTCCAATTAACAGACTTGAATTTAAATGCAAGTTCTACCAACAGCTTGTTGGGGAATTCAAGCAAACATCTCCTGCTCTGAGCTTCACATAAGTCATCAGTAAAAAAGGGAAAGTAATAATTTTTCAGAGAGCTGATGTGAGGCTTAAGTGAGCTAAGGCATAAATAGGATACAACCAAACAAAAAATAAATATTGAAAAACCTCTTCATTAATATTATTCTGTGCATAAGAGAGAAAATTAGAGAAACTCTCTTCTGTCTATCATTCCACCCACATCCAGAGTTTTTTGGGCTGCCATAAATTTGCCTTACAGACTCCTATCATTTAGCCCTGGGCTGTCTCCAGAGTTCCCACAAGATTTCATAGATTGTTTATGAGTGCTATGGAATTTGCTGTCTGGCTCTGAGCCCTGAGTTAGGGAAAACAGGGTTAGAAGTGGCCAATGAATAGGAGGAATAGCTTTGATCATGTGAAACTGCACTCACTTCTTAGAAAAGATGAAGTTAAATGTAGCAATTTTTAGGTTGAGGAACAAGAATGTCAAATGTCAGAGGATAATGGATGATGGAGGAAAAACAGGGCATTTCTTAAGGTTTCCATGGCAGTCCTGATGCTATTCTGGTACCCTATCTCCTCCCAGGTGTTCTGAAAAAGAGTCACCAGGGACATTTCAATGTTACATCGGAGCAATGACCCACAATGCCCATACACTTCTCCAGTTGTAGGAACATCTTCCCTGATCTGGTGTATCAACCCCACTCAGATACAAGCCAAGCATCCCTTACCAACTCAACACAAAAGAGAAAAGAAAGAAAGAAGTGATACTAGCCTATCACACATCCAAGTATTGTGAAGTCCTCCAAGCTCTTAAAACACATTCAGTGCTCCACTGCTTCACACTGTATCAACTGCTGTAATCCTGATCCAAGTTCCAGTCATCTCCTACATGGACTGTTTGCAATAGCCTCTACCCCACGTCCTCTCTCTCGAGTTGATTTTCAGTAAAGTAACCAGAAGGAGGCACTGGAGGGAAGTCAGAATGAAGGCCAGCAACTCTGGCCAGTGACATTACAGCAGCAGCAAACAGTTGACAACTACCTCTATCTTCTTTTGACATCCCCAGC